CCTGCTAAAATAACTATCATCTTCCTTTGTTTCTATATTTAAACATTAATTACAGTTAGAATTAGGTTAGTGAAAGCTGCACACAAAGCACTCTCATTTAAAAGAATTTATCTCTGGGCCAAACTTCTACAAGAGATAAGATGGTCCATGTTTGAGACAGCGAATATGACAAAAGAGTTTTTGCATGAAGCAGGACTGACAGAAAAATAATACATGAGTGGATGTGTCCATCTAATATTTTGACAGACCCTACCCACCAGTTCCCAGCCTCGCCTGGCAGCTCCTAAGGCATCCACACACATTCCTCTTCATGCCTGAAACTTCCTTCATTTAAATATTGGAAAATTTATTTTCTAATTCCAGTAAAGAACCTGGGAATATGCAGAACAACTCTTCTGTCCTTTGACAGGTCCACACAACCAGAAGGTGAATGTATCAGCAGGGTCAGATCCCTCAACAAACAGTACAGTACAGGTACTTCAAAAAAGTGCAAACTGAGGAACAAACAGTACTGCATCTGTTTACCCTTTATATTAGAACCCCCAGAGTGGAACTGGGAGACCTGAATTTGGTGCCCTCTGTAGCTCAAACCACATCTCTTATGTCCCCAAAGAATGGCATCACCTCCGATCGGGCTCACTCAGCTCACTCGAAAGAAAACGAGGGAGCATGCAGCTCTCTAGTGGTTACTGAGGTGGAAGAAGGAATATCTGTATCTGGTTTCTGTACTCTGCACTGAGGCTACTTTCTGTTTTTAATTTTAATACAAATGGCCTCTGCATTATGAATGGTATCTTCTACACAGTGTAAAATACTCAACAGAAAGGACAAATGTAAACCCATACTAAACCACTATAACCTCATGATGAAGGTATTTCTACTGAGAGTTTGAATACTTCACAGACCTCCTATGTCACCATTTGGTATATTCTCTAGTCTTACCTAGACAGAGTCTCAAAACATTAGGAATGTAGTTTCTGGGTTCTCATAGTCATACCCATTCCCAATCTCCAGGCACGTATGGCACAGGCTACATCACAGCACTGGTGCCAGCAGTGTTCCTGCCTCAGCAAGGTGGCTGAGGAAGGCAGACCCATCCAAGATGGGTGACCTAACCACCAGCTTTAGGGGCTCCTTCATTCAGCTGGATTTTGGAACAGCTCCTCTGCTGCAAGGAGAAACCAAAATTCATTTTCTCCTTGTGAGTAGAAAGGCATTCCTTCAGACTTCTAATTTAGTGCAAATTCACAGACAAGTAGGAGCAGCAATTCTGCATCTTGTACAATAGTTTAGTTTATCTATAAAATAGGCATCAGATTAACGAGTTCAGCTTCTGAGTAAATTTTTAAAAATAAAAATAAATTATCATGACTTTTCATGATAAGTCAAAAAATATTCAATTACTTATCTACCTTGAGTGTTTTCTGGTTCTGTAACAAATTCCTTCTGGCATGTAAGCATTCATTGTTAGCCATATTTTTAAGTTACTTCTTATTTTTTCCAGGATTTAAAACTAATGTTAAACTTATTGTTTTGCATTTTGAGAAATATTAAACTATACTTAGATACAAAGGCACTCTTCATTTAATTAGAATATTTTATTGTGTTATCAATTTTAAAAACCCTTAGTGATAAAAAAAGTTCATAGATTTATGTATTTTGAAAGAGTTTTTAATTTTAGAGTAGAAATTTTGTGCCACAGTAGTCTCTTCTCTAGAAAGGAGTGCTTGTAAGGGGGTATCAGCATATTTTTTTCTCAAAAGGACCAGTTCAACACTAGACACCTTAAACATGGGCTGTGATACAATGGTCATCAAATCAATTCATGCTCCCTATGACAGAAATAGCAAAAAGGCAGTGATGCCAAACTGATGCCTGCCTGCCATATCTGCCAGCAAACACTGCATGTTTGTACAGGTTTGTTTGTTTTCCAAGGGCTAGCAATGTGTAGTAGGATCAGGATTAGTCTTTATCAGTTTTTCGACTCATACACTTGACAACATCCTTTTGGAGACTGATATGCCTTTCTCCTCAGATGTAACTACTGCAGCACAAATGCTGCTGGTGCTGCAAGCTGATTCTCAGGTGCACGTGCTTGGGTAAGGCACCCATCACCATGGTATCAGGTTCCAGCAAAATGAAAAAAAAAAAGCAAAGTTACTGGGGTTTTTTTACAGAAGACAGGATAAATGGAATATAAGCATTTGCACAGCCAGGAATCACACTGAAGAACTCATAGTCCTGTGTGCAGTAAAAAAAAGGAGCAAGATTTGTGTTGTTTTAAACACTGTTTAACATTCTTAGCTCTTGGACTTACTGTCCAGAATGATGAAACTCCAGCCATCAGTCAAGATAATGGGAGCAGAAGTCTCTTCAAACCAGACTTCTCAAGAGAAAGAGAGGTGGATTTGGCACCCACACACATCACACTGAAAAGATGTATTCTGAAACCCCAGCTTGTAACCCTGTTGCTCAATTGGTCCTCAGAGCCTTGTTTTCCATGCCCTGCCTTGGCCGCTATTTTTCTTGCTGCTGACTTGGGAGTTTTCATTTGTGCCATATCCCAGAAATAAGCACAACAAGTCTACTCATAGCCTGTCAGAGTCATCTGTTTATATTCCTCCTGAAGTCTGCCTGGAGAGCAGAATGCTCATTAAACAATTTTTCACACACTGATGATCTTTTTCTTCTTGTACTTTGTCTTTTCTTTAACAATAGCTTTCTGAAAAAGAGACGCGTTTGAAAGTTAGTGCAACTAGTGAATAATATGAGTAAGTCAATAGGAAAGTAAAGATTTTTTTAAAATGCAGATTATTGATTTTTAGAATTGTAGGGGCCCCTTCAAAGTCATTAAGGGTTTGTCATGTCAATATGTTAGTAAGGACTTCTATAAATGAAGATTAATGATGCTAGGGATAATTAGGGCTGAAAAAAACTCACGTTTCTCAGTATTTGGAAAATCCATGCAAAGGTGATCACCATCAAGTTCTCCTTCAATGTACCTTAGCTCCATTTTTGCCATGAGAGCAGGGGGAAGATTTTCTATGACACAATGGGAATTCAAACTCCCAGTACCTTTAGAAATCAATGGTAATTGAGCTGCATAACTCTGAGTTTTGCTTTTTTTAAAAATCCCCAGTATAGTGAGTGCAGCTGATTTACTAAATCCACAAGCCAAAATATTTCTGAATATATTTTCTTTCCAAAAGAAATAGAGCAGGTAAAGTAGATGCTTTTCCAAATTAAAAACTCAAGTCATGCTTCTCATTATTATTTTTTCCTGCAAAACTTCATATATTTTGTTAAAGGCATGAAAAGATACAAAAAGGAAAAGAGAGCTTTTTGTTAGCTTGCAGGAATATAAAGACCCTACAGCGAATAATCTCATTTTTAAGGGGGACCATGCATTTTTCTATCTATAAAAATTAAATTAAATATTCCTTGAGTTATCTCTGCTCTAAGGCTGAGGTTTAAACAACAAACACTGTCCAGATAATCAATGTATAGTTCTGCTTGGGTTCCTCTCACACAGCTAAGCTACAACTGGTGGTGGATTTTTTTTTCTCAATTATGAAGCACTAAATCCCAAAATAGTCCTTATGGTTATAATTTGTTTCTATGTAATCCATGGTGATAGGTTTTACTCATCAGTTTTCCAAAAAGTACAGCAAGCATACTTTGGCAAAGTTTGAATTCCACAGAAGCAAACACAGCTTGATCAGACCTTGCACATGGAATCAAAATGCTCTGGATATTGACTTTTTGGATGTTTAAAGAGAAATAATCAAAGCAAAAGAATTCTGAATGCAGGCTAGGATATCTTGGCTCTTTTCCAATAGACAGCTAAACTGGGAAGCCACAGCAGAAATCTGTGTTTTGGTTTGGAGGGGGAACAAGGCTGAACAGGAACGGCTATCAGCACACTTCTTCACTGGCATGACACCCACCTGGTGGCCTGCTGGACCACATCACATTCTGTTTTGTCTGCAGTCAAATTGCAACTTCTATAACACTTTGCGTAAGTGTCTCTGCATCCTGAAGTCCTTAATCAGAGGGTCATTTTGAAGAAAGGTATTTTCACACAACAGAAAAATATCTAGCAGCTTGATACATAAAAACACCTGCTCATAAAATCCTGTCATCAGAGTGAACATCATAAAATGTACATGGAATCAGAGAAATTAACTAACTGGGATTTTTTTTAATCCTTCCTCTGGGTTTAACTCCTTAGCTTGTGGAAATGTTTGTGTCCCATCATTGCTTTATCCAGGTTGTTAGAGCTTATTCTGATCTTGTATAAGCAGATAAACAGCCAACAGACGCTATATGATGATGAGAAATGGAGTTCAAAATCCTGTAATACTGCAGATCACATTTCAAGTCCTATTAGCCTATAAGAAGGCATTTGTTTGTGAATCTGGAGAGCTTGTTCCTTGTGTTAGGGTTAACAGAAACACACATGCAAAAGAAAGAGCTTCTTACAATATTAAATAATCCATCACATCTTGTGCTGGTATGAATACATACATATTAAGGTCTGGAATGACCAAGGGGAAACAAATCTCACATTTGTCACAAAAAGTTCCTGCTGAGGTGTTAGGATCAAAGCATAGAAACCAGACAATACTGCAAAGTGGCAGTCTTTTTTTGATGATGAAGCAATCTCATTCAATATACATTATCCATTAAGTTTATCTTGGTAGATAACTGCACACAGAAACATCATATAATCTACTACAAAATTGTTTCTTTCCAGAAATTCATTTGCATCATATATATCTGCTGATAACTATTTTTATGAGATAAAATGTACTCACTATCTTTTTCTTATTTTATTACTCTTTTTTGGCATTTAGTGAAATGCTAATTCACTGATTAGTGAACCAGTATTAGGAGACATAAATATGCATAAGGAGGAAAGGTGGCATAGCCCAGACCCTTCTGAATTTGTTGGTGGAGGCCACAGACACAACATGATAGAACAGAACAGAATTTCTTACCTTTATGATGATTTGCCCCAGATGCTAATTTCCCCCACAGTGTTACAACAAATATTATTATTAGCAGTTTTCCTTTTGTTGCTTTCTGTAAGTATCTCTTATTCATCCTGAAAATAAAAATACACAAAATTAAATATTTATCTTAAGATTTCTTAAAAATACATATTTTTCTTAATTTAAGGAGAATTTACTAATTTTTCATAAGTGTCCAGCTCACAGTCTTAAAGTCTTAAATTCTGCTGAGCTCTAAATGAGGTACATAAGTAGCAACATAACCTCCCACCCTGGTCTGACAGCACTCCTCCACCCTAGTCAGTACCAGGAGAATTCAGCATCATCATAATTTCTCTCAGGGCACAAACAGTGTTCATAACCACAGCATACTCCAAAGCTGGCAAGAAGGATGAACCCGTTCATCTCTGAGCAGGTCTTGACAAACTGAGCAGTTCCACTGCTCTGTCTGCAGCCAGTCATGGCCCTGCAGTTGTCTCTGATCATACAGTGGTGTTTCTAACTTTTGGGATTGTAGCTCTTTTTGGATTGTGCAATGAGTCCTAAGGCAATAACAGATCTGAACAGACCTTCAGTTCATGTCTCAATCCTCCTGCAGAGAAATCCTGTTAGGAAGACTTGAGGGGTTTGTAAACATGAAATAGAGCAGGGCAGATTCACTACCCTCTCCCTCACTACCTCTGGGTAATGAAAAGATCTGATTAACTGCACCAAGGAAAATTGCACAGAGCTCCCCTCATCTTCTCAGTGATGTTTTCACTGTGACAGCAAGCCACCAGAGTGGTTCAAGCACAAGATAGCATGACTTATTTCTCAGTAACCTCCTCCAAAGACAAAATACCCCTCCACCTGCCAAAAAGACAAGTTCAGGCATGTAGGCTCTAGTGCTTAAGGATTACAGTTGTGCAGAGAGTGGCAAGAGGGTACAGTAAGGAGTCCTTCTCTCACTTCATCCCTGTGGAAGAACCCTAGGGAGCTGGCTATAAAACAGCTCTACACAATGGTCATGTGTCTGCTGATAGGCCAATAGAACAATGATAACTATTTCAAACCATTTATACTAGAAAATTTGATCACTTGAGCAAGATTGTTGCTGTATTGTAATGCCTAGAAATAGATTGTTTTTATGAGCAGAAAAAAATGCATTAATTCATTATGGTTGCACATTTATCTCCTATTGAATTCCTAAGAAATCCAAAGGAATTCAGGTGAATCTCTTCTCATCTGCTTGTGTACTATCTTGGGCAACCATAACTCTGAAATGCAGACTACTTTAATACAGATTTAACCAGTAATATGTTAAAAGTCCTAAATCATTTTCCACTTCTTCAAAACAATTTCTCTCCTTTCAGTAAATTTCTTTCCAGTATAACTCTGCACGCTGATAAGGCAACACACACCCCACAACTCCACTTAAATCTTCCAGACTTGAAACCAGACCACTTCCCCCAGAACTGCCAATCTTGCTCTCCAGGAGATTGATGAGCAGGCTGTGTATAAGAAAACAAGACTGAAACTAACAACCCACTAAAGAGTGCAGCAAACCCTTTTAAACATGAATTCAGAGCAAACAGCACTCAGCATTCTTTTACAGAAGTCACACATTTATTATGTGTTTCCCAGAGGTTTAGAGATCACATTTATCAAGCAAAAGGAGAGGGGAGTAAGCAAGTGCTGTAGCCAGGATGGTGCATGTGCCCCTGAAAGCCTGACTGATTAATAATCACAGCAGAGATCACAGTGTGCTGTGAACCACTCTAAGGTCTTCCTTCTTGCACTGATCCCAGTGCCTTTGGAGTGTAAAATGCATATTCATCATCAGCTCCAGGTTTATGAAGCACTCAAAGCTAAAGGGAAATACATTATGTGTCACTGTAAATAAGAACAAAAAAATGAGACTAGAATGCACATTCAGCATATGCTCTTTCACAGCTATCTCTGTGAAAAGAATATGAATTAACTCTTTCACTCTACATTCTCATACTGCACCTGTTATGCTGCTGGTGCCAAGTCATCTCTCATTAAAATCAAATCTTTCTTCCTCACCTACATAACATTTCTTGAAACCTAGTGGGACTTGCACCATTAAAGCAAGGTTGAATCTAATACAGTTTCTTCCTGTATTCTGCTGATGCCAGATTCCCTCACTGCTCTGTGAGACTGGCAGCAAATGCACATCAGAAAATGCAAATGCCTCAGGAAAAAGAGTAGTGGCAGGGAAAAGAGAGAAAACCAACCTCTCTGCCTGAGAACAGCAGCCCTCAGGATGCATGGCAGAGTGAAGATGTAAACCCCTGTGCACAGCTGAGCACACCAAAAAGGAGTAAGCTAGCACTGAGTGAGACTGTTTTCTGCAAAGCCAGGGAAGGGTTTCAGCTTTGACACAGAAAATCCGGGCTCATTGCCATTGCTAGGTTTCCCAATCATGAGAAAAACTATTCATCACTTTCTGCACCACAAGCCTATTACATTTATCTGCACTAGTTATTAGTGGTATTCACCTTTAGGAAGAGTAAAATCTGAACTGTGTCTAATAATAGTTTCATAATAAACATAATTAACAGAAAAATCAGTGCAAGGAGCTGTTTGGGGCTAATAGTTCAGAGGCATCAGAAGAACTACAGAAAAAAACTCTAATCAGTTAATGTATTCATAACATACAGCTGTTCAAATAGAAAAAGCTGGAAGATGATGTTAACCTTCCAAGTAATTATACTATGCAGCCCTAGACCCAGACCTGGGATTGTTGCATTTTCACTCCCAGTGGTCAGTCCAAGGACAGGCAAGAGACTGCATAAGCACAAACAAGATGTGAAGCTCTCTGCTAGAAGTCCTGCTACACACAAGGACCACATTGCAGCAACACAGCCCTAGATACAAAAAATGAAGGGTCCAAGAAGCTGAGATTGGAATGGAGGCACATTATTGACAAATTGAGTCAGGAGCTGGGAAAGAAGGAGAGGACAGAGAGGCCATGAGATAAGCTCAGTATCTCACTGCATGCATTATCACCTGGGCTCCGAAACCCTGATGCTGGTTAGCTTGTTATGGATTTGCAAAACAGCCCATGATAGGGCACTGAGAAGACACTGGGCCTAGGTAGCATTTGACCTCAGCTCTGAAATAACTATTAGCTTCTTGCAACACTGATCTATGTCAGGTAAGCACATCCAGGAAATAAAACTGAGTCCACTTCAGTACTGTCATTACACTAACATAACTGGCTGTGATAAGTAGAACAAATAAGCTCTGAAATTATGTCTACTTTTACTAGAGGTGATGCAGAGCTCCACAGACAAACTATAGATATTAACTGGAATAGTTTTCTTTTTGAGACATTTATTCTTTTATTTACTTTCTTTTCTTCAGAACCTCTCCCTCACTGTGATCCATCCAGCCTTCAATAATGCCACATAAGCCAAAGCCGATCAAAACAGAGAATAGCCATGCTATAGGAAACACCTACATGTGAAAATCAATTTTACACATGAGCTTTATGTGTAACAAACCATTTCCTTTAGTTTCTAACCTAACATATTGGAAATAAACCCAAGTAATTCTCTGCACTTTCACACAAAAGAGGACATGAAAGTCTGCTGTGTTTGAGTTCATTTTTCAATGTGCTTTGAAGCAAGAAAAAAGAAAGATAGCTCCTTTTGTGGTTCAGGAACACATTCAAAATATAACAAAAAGATGTCACCCACATAATCCAAACAGGCTGAGTGTGAGATGGCTCTGTTGTGCCCAGCTCTTCACTGAAACCACAACACAAGGATTCCTTCGTAGGATTTGTTACTTTTGCTCCCTAAGATTTCTTTCGCCTGAAGCACACTCCATGAGACCAAAACCAGTCTGGTATCATGAACTCAAGAATAGACTGTTTTAGTGATTAGTGACAAAAAACTGCAGGGCTTTTTCTCAGGGAGAAACCATATCTGATGCCGCAGAGGAGTTTCACAAGCTGCACATCAGCAGAAATCCCTCCCCCTGCCCTGTGTGGCTCAACAACAGCAAATTGTGAATACACTCCAGTGTTGAACAGGCTCCCCTTGTCACTGCTCCACCTCGCTGTCAGCCCACTTTCAACAGTAGATGGGCTCCAACCATTCAGCTGTACTGAAAATGCCATGCACAGATGTGTATTTTAAATGTAGCATCCATAAGCTTTTGTGTTTCTACTTTCTTCCTCCTTTGTTTCTGGACTTGAGATCGGCCACCTTCCCAACAATTCAGAATTAAAGGAGAATCACATGGGAATTACCTTATATTGTATGACCAGTGCTAAACTGCTTTGCTTTCTGGTTTTAGGTGAAGTAAAAACTCATGTTATCTCTATTGTTGAGGAGTAAAAACTAAAAGGAAAAAATAGCTTTTATTCTTCCTTTAAAAGCTTATACAAAAATAAAATTTTCATGTTTCCTACGAGTAACAGCATTCTTCTCTGTTGCTCCTTGTTTTTCTTTTCTTTACATAAAACAGATTCTCAAAACAACTCTCACAGTTTTTTTGAAATTGTTCAAAATTCATTCATTCCCGCTTTACATATGTGGGAAGTTTCACTGTCAGTAAGGTCCACTTGCCTTTTGCAAATACACATACCCTGTGAATGCAAGGGTTCACAAAGAGATACATAAGCCTATTTTTCTACTGAATCCTGACAAAATGCTTAAGAGACAAAAAATCTGGTAGAAAATTAGTCCCACATCCTCTTAGTTTAGTTTTTATTACAAATATTTTATTTGCTACTTCAGAAAAAGCCTAAATGAGTAGTAGAAATCACTTGAGACCCCAAGTCTCTTGTACAGAAATAATGCAGCCATTTAAATTATCTTCTCTACTGTGTTGAATCGTACATTATTTATTAGTTGTGTTAGTTGCTTCATCCCACACAATGCAGGTATTTGCAGTTTTATTCAGCCTTTCCAGTGTAGACTAATGCAGATTTAAAAATGCCCCCCTGGTGAATAAGGTCGCTTTGTAAAAGTAACACCAATGTGACCCCTGTGCATTTGCATATATATAAATTCCCTCTATGACATTCCTGTCATGTTTGCTCAGGGAACAAGTAATTTGCCACTTCCATTACTTCAGGTAC